ATGACAACTGCATCAGCTTATTAAAGTGCCTCAGAATAGCAGATTCAATTCACTAATTAGAATTTAACAATAATGAGCCAAATACTGTTCTTGGGAAACATCTAGTTGCGTTACCCTGGATTTGGATTGATGTCATTGAGAGCAAATCTGACTGGGTGGGCTTATAAAAGACATTTTCCTCAATGTGTTACTGTAGTAATTTTCCTATTCTGTGTGGGAGTGGATAGGGCAATCCCAATCGAAATCCATAAATTGGTGTAGGCTGGCTGGATTGGAGGAGGAAGCAGTTGGAGAGCTATGGAAAAAAGAAGGTGTTGCCAGTTGAATCCAGACACTGCCTCCCTTTTACTATATTCCTAACTTTGGTCTTCCAGACTGGACTAGTTTGTAAACACATCAGAACTCATCAAAATCACAAGGGCTAAACTTCAAGGTTTAAGATGCTGTTGAGAAATTTAGAAATATCCAGTGTTGATGGTTCATAAGGTTTTTAAAACACTGATGTCATTAGGTGCTTTCCTTGAAACCCATGATGTGGCTCTATAGGAATATGATGTCGGGACTATAAAAAAGAGAATAAATAAAACTTGCTAAATACACTTCCAAATGTGAAGCAGGTATGTTTTACACTGAACAGCAAATACTCTGTTCTTTTCCCTCTGATCTTCACCTTCTGTACAAGTACCCCTGCCAAGAACACTAAGGTTAGGCAGAAACCACCATTCCCTTTCTCCCTGTGGGAATATAGCTACCTTTTATTACTATAACTTGTTCTTTCTTCAATGGTTTTGCACTAAAAGTTTAAGAGGGAAAAAAAGAAGAAAAAGAAAGTGGTGTTTTTAAACTACCATAAGAGGCATTAATTAGCCAGCCTCTCTATAGAATAGCTATAAATTTTCCATTAAGAGGGTATGATTTTTTTCTTTTTTGTTCATGTTTATTGGATCTTCACAGTAGGGCTATAGAAATTCACTGATTGTTTTCATTCTGTCAGACTCAAGGCTCTCAACCCTTCCTCTTAACTGTGTCTTACTGCACCTTACATTTCCCAAAAGAGCTGGTACTAAATTTTTGCTAAAATCATTCCTCCGAGTTTGTGCTAATCTCACAAGTGATCTGTTCTCCTGGATACTGAGCACCCTCAGCTCCTACTGAAATCAATGGAAGTTGTGGGCATCTTTGCAGAATCTGCTGGCAAACTCATGGGTAAATCATGTGTACTCTGTGCATTTTCTATAACCAGAAACTGTGATATCAAAACAGAGACTGAATCAAGTCAAATCTATGATCTCCTTGAAAGGTCCAGGAGGATTTGCCTCTGTGGTGTTGATTTGGACCATTATAAACATAGAGGATATCTACAGAAGTAGATGCAGGTCCTGATTCATGTTTCAAACACTCCCTCCTCAGAAGGGAGTGGATTTTTGAGGTTTTGCTTTGAATTCATCCCACTATATCTCAATGGGTCTCACTAGCAGTTTGGAAAATAAGAACTGACTCCACCTCAGATTGAATCTGAATCAAACCTTTTTTAGAAGGTTTAAAAAGATCATTTAATTCCCCCCCTCTAGTTTTCGCTCTTGCCCAATGACAGCTTGCTCAGCCTCTGTTATAACAGAATACTTTTCTGTCTTTGGCAGTGACACCCTTCTAATTGAAGGAGATGCATTTATGCCATCCAAAGGGCATCAGACATTCATCATCAGAGGCCAAGGAATGTCATGAGGGGCCTAGTCCCTTTTTAGTGAAATGAAGTCTTTCAATGTATTTCAAAGGTTGTTGAATCTGGCCCCTAAATCAGAGCTGCTTTCAGAGAAGGGGTGGAGTAGGTATGCTCATGTGAGAGTATCTTTTGTTAAGGTGTCCTTTACTCTTTGGTAATCCCTTTTCTCAGGCTATTTAGTGGACAGTGTTTTTAGGTAGGAACTCCTGGACAATGCTCTGGACCCAAGATTAAAAAGGAAGAGAAAAACAAATATTTCTATGTTTTCCCAATTAGATTATCTTGTTTAAAATAATACTTTCATCATCTAGTTATTTTTTTTAACCAGCCTGGAAATGCTAGAGGCACAGAAACCTTGGTAATTCTTGTGGTAGGGGAACTGATCATGATATCAGTGGGTATTCCCCACCTCACACAACACTAATTAAGAGTAATTCTCAGTAATGGACGTTAGCTGCAGGCTAAATAAATAGTATTCTTGAATATTTTCCTCAAATCTCACAGAAATGTGTTAATTGAAAGTCTCACATCTACTTCTAAATTGAATCCCACCCCCATGTTCTTTGATTTATGTCTTTTCATGTCTGCAGTTAAAGCAATGTCTGCTAATAGCACAGTTGTTAAAGATCTGTTGATATTCCAGTACAGATTCTGGGTTGGCAGTGGGGGGAGGTGTTGGTGGTGCCCGTTATTTACTGTCCCACAAGCATTTGCTTTGGGCTGAAATGCAGCATGTGCACCCCCACTCTATAATTACATCTTTGTTTTACAAATTGGCTGACCTTTTTTAAGGTGATGGGTAGGGTTGGAACTAGTACAGATTCATGAGTGAAACTGCTTGTGAAGTATGCTAGGGTATGTCTACACTACCCCGCTAGTTCGATCTAGCGGGGTAATGTATGCATACCGCACTTGCTAATGAAGCCCGGGAAATTCAAATCCCGGGCTTCATTAGCATAAGCGGGGAGCCGCCATTTTTAAATCCCCGCTGCTTCGACCCCCGTGTAGCCGCGCTACTCGGGGTTCGAAGCAGCGGGGATTTAAAAATGGCGGCTCCCCGCTTATGCTAATGAAGCCCGGGATTTGAATTTCCCGGGCTTCATTAGCAAGTGCGGTATGCATACATTACGCCGCTAGTTCGAACTAGCGGGGGAGTGTAGACATACCCTTAGATACTTATGGCAATTCTCAACTTTCAGATGTCCAAATCCTGAGGTGCTTACTCAGTTTTCACTCAGGCAATCTTTTGTGGGATTTAACAGGAGTGTTCCTGAGAGGGATGGGTGAAAACTGACTAAATACCCCTGGATTTGGCTCAAAAAAGAAGAAACTGAGAGGAAAGGGATAGAAGGCGCCCATTAGCTCATGTAAACTATCACCATTCCATTGACTTCAAACTGTTGACTTCAGTGGAGCTGAATCTCTGGATCTAATCCAAGTTGTATTGTTTTAAATTCCTTGTAGGTGGTTGGTATCTCCTGGCTTCAGAAGTTCTCTTCTTTCTTTCCTGCCCTCTCATTTTATTCTTTGCTTTTCTCGTTCCATTTCCTTTTCCTCTAATCCTGCTTATTTGACTCTCATGCACATTCTCTGTCACTCTTCACATTCACTTGTTCCTCTGTGTTCTGTCCCTTTCACCAATTCTTTTCCCTTGTCCTCCATCCCTCTCTCCCCCCTCCTCTTGATCATATACTGCTTCTTACTCTGTCATGTAATGAATACATCCCATCCCAAGGCAGTGTGGCCCAATAGCTACAGTCTGTAACACAGCCCTAGGGTTTAGGTTAGCATAGTCAAATTGTCAAACAAAGGCACAATGGATTACCCCACGAACATTGTAATCAGTCGCATGTGCATACGGATATGAATTTGTGATTACAAAGAGGGTGATAATTATATACATATTTAGTCCGATTGGATGCAAAATGACAAATGTACTGTGGAGCCACATATATTTTTCCCAGGTACACCATTTGAAAATTTGGGGCCAGATCCTGGTCTCACTAGTTTGCCTTTTTTTGTGCTGCCCAAACAATGATAACCCGGTCAAGAGGTGGCTTGCATATCTAGCTAGTGTTACTTTAGCATAGAGTAACCTCCCGTGTCCTATAACTACCTTTGCCAGCTGTACACCACCCACAAAAGGAAGAAGTCATTGGGAAGCTAGCCAGGACAACTTAGAGCACCGTTGAGGCTGATCTAAGTTGTGTTTGGATCAAGCAACTTTGCTTTGCTCCTGGATTGGGTGTGGAGATATGTGAAGCAAATGTGGCATAAAATTGTTTGACTCCCCCTTTTTTAGCTGTGCTGAGGTCAGCTCACCTACAGCAGAGTATTTGGTGCCTGACCCATAATGTTAAGGCTGAAAAATTCCTCTTTATGCCCCTACAGCTTTGCGGGAGTTATAGAACAAAAAGAACTCTCATATATATCCCTGAGTACTAGGCACCATAGGGGGCAATTAGGGATAACTTAGTCTTAACTTGAAACCCCCTTGCATTAGTGAATTTAAATCAAACCTGGGTTTGTATCTGATCGTTTTTCTATTGTTTTTTGTATGTTTCTTTTTAAATGTGGTTTAATTATAGTGAAATTATAATGGGGGTTCAGTAACCAGTGGCTTGAAAATTAACTGTATTATGAAAGCTGAAATGTTGCTAGCAGCATCAGTTAATGACAAGGTCACCACCACTGTCATATTCAAAAGAAATGTCACACTTGAATGAGGCTGAGATGGCTGCCTTGTCCCAGGGTTCCAGGTAGAGAAAATGAAACAAGCTCTCCTTGGGTACTGTTTTATCCCATGTTTGAATTGAATGCATTCTTTTTTTCAGCTCATTGTGGTTCTTCTGTTTTCCCACAACATATGGAGTCCCCAGATATTCTGCTGTAATGTGGAAACTTTTGGGGGCTGGGAATAACAGATCGTGAATAGATTGAAAAGTCCCACTAAATACCCCCTGGAGTGGTCGGTGAAAAGATTCCTGTCTGTGTTCCACTTTCACAATAATCCAATAAGCCTCAAATTATTCTTCTCTATGAGACTATATTAGGGAACAGAATTCTAGCATATCCCCAAACACTGCCTAGCGAATGAAGACAGGTGACTATGCTTCAGGACATGGTCTAGTCACCTGGCATAGGAAACCTCTTGTTAATTGAATAAAGAAATTTCAGGAGACCCAGTCAGAAAAAAAATAACATCCTTTATGTTTGCACAGGATGTTAGTTGCTGAGACATTTTTAATGCCCAAATTTTCTTGTTTGGCAGGGGGATTTTGGTGCAAACCAAATTGAAAGATAACTACATTTCGCATGTCTCATTGAAAGCAATGGAACTTTTGTCAGTCATGGAGCCAGATCAAGACCATTATGCCTGAATAAGAACCTGGTAACTAAAGGAGGTGATTATATTGCATCTTTCTGTATGTGATTTCACTACCTTAGATGGATTAAAGAGTTTTGCTTGAATGCCCTGATGCCGTAACAGATGTAGGAAAATAACTTCCCTATGCCCAGCCCAAATATTGAATGAAAAAATGACCCCCACATTTTTGTATATTGGAGAAAGTTTGTGTAAAGAGCCTCCTTTTTCAACTCCAACAACAAATTGCTTTGGCTGAAGTCCTGATGGCTACAATTCTGACAATCTCTGCTAAATTTGCTGCTGTCTTCCAAGCCTGCAGTCTTCCCAGTATGAGGAAGAGCAAACCTGGTGTGGGCTGATAGAATCTGCTGAGTGAAGTTTTTTGATTTCAGTCTTCATGAAGGAAAGTAAGAGTCAGGAAGGAAGAGCTAAGCATGAGGCATCAGGTAAGAAGATGCATGAGGATGGGAGAAAACTAATGGAAATGCCATTAGACTTTCTTAGATTTATTCCATTGGTCCCCATTTGTTTCTACTGGCCTCCGTTAGTTTAAGTACGAGGACCAGGAAATAGCAGACCAATCGATCTATTGTCCTAGTCCATAACTAAGTCAGAACCAGCTGAAAAATTTCAACTGGAAATTGAGCCATTGGGGAGTGGTTACTATGATGAAGGCTTTGCCAGGGGAGAGTGTTTCTTTAATGTAAGGGAGTTATTTAACTTTATTAAAACTAAAT